GGCGAAATTAATAATAATAATAATAATAAAATTAAATTCTTATAAGCGAATATTTGCTGTATTTACGACACGACGACTCAGTGAATGCATACGTTCCTTATATTCATATAGTAAGATGTAAGGGTATACAAGAGTATACAAGTCACAGACTGCTTGATTTAGGAGAGGCATATTTTCTTAAACCTAAGTCAACACAAGTTTTCTTTTTGTTTAACAACAAAAGCAAATAATCAAAAAGTCGCTATGTTCCAGGTTTTTTTTACTAAATAATATTCATTCTGACATAAGGAGAACTTCACTTCACAGAGGAACTAACTTTTGTATTCGGGACTAATATCAATAAAAGTAAAAACCAAATGTGAACACATATGACCCATTAAAGGTAAACAGAATAACTGTCCGTGCTCTATTTACATAGCTTCTCCCAAAATGCGCGCAAGAATTAATTTTTATGGAGAACACAGCTTTATTATTAAATATTGCGTGAGGGATATATTCATTTTGCCAAAACGTTTGCAACGCCCAGAAGGAAGCATCGGAGACGCCACATAGTACATATATTCTTAATCAGAATCAAACTCTGAATCAGTTTAAGTATGTCCATTTGTCCATTTGTCCATTTAGCTGTCTGTCCCTCTGTGTAACGTTTGTTGCAAAACATTCTCCTGGCCGCAAAAATTAAATTCAAAATTAACTAAAACATTGAAAGTGGGCACGTCTCTGCCTTTCAAAAGGCGTAAAACATTCTTTTTTTACTAAATACTTATAAACTATAAGCATTTGAACGTATGTTCTATGGACGATGCTGTCGTATCGCCAAGGAAATGGGAAAAATCGGCCACGTCTACTGTTTCTCACTTGAACTCTTTTTTACGTACGCTGTTGCAGACGCATTTCCTATCCAAACAGTATTGAAGGGAGTATGTGAAAGAAGAAGCGTCATAACCTTACACACAATATAATGTAAATGAACTTTTCTTTAAAAAAAGATGGCTGAAAATCGCATTTATTTTTAAACATGCTTCTCAGTGTAATTATCGGTAATATCTGTGTCATTGCAAAATCAAATTTCGCAAAATGTAATTTTACTGATTATTAATTTCCGCACATTTTTCCATTCCTTTAAGCACTCAAATACGCAGTACTGGCATTTTCTAATGAATTCATTATTTTCTTATTGTTATTCTTTTAGTTATAATTAGAATTATACATAAGCCACAATTAAAAGGAAGGGTTAATGCATTAACTCGACTATTTTAGCACATGAATAGCGCATCCTTTTTTTTGAACTAAAGATTATCTTCACTATTTTCCTGGGATACCTGTGATTAATGCTATGGTTCCCTAGCCATTGCCTTTGACGAGGCGCAAAATAGTAAAGAAGAGCTCTTTTTAGTTACAGATAAAAAAACATATGCTCTTCTTCTATATCCCGCTTATTTATTCGAATACGTAATCAACGATTTCACAGTTAACGTGAACTGTGGGTTCCGCGTCCAAAGGCTGCTTATATAATAACATACAGTAGTGAACAAAATTTTAAAAAATTTTGCTTCTTCTTTTTAAAAGGTAATCAACGAGTCTATTACAGATGATCCACTATGTCAAAGTAGGAAATGCTTAGCGTGCATACATAATGCGCACGCAACAAATCCAAATTCTGTGGTATTCAATGTTGAGACACGAATGTATTTGTATCACTTGCAAAGTGCATCAATTTCATTTACAATCATTTTTGAGCATAATACTATTACCGCCTGCAGCGGATCCATAATTTGTCTGAGCCTGCATACAATCATCGATTTTTATTTTATTAGAAACAATTTTTAATCCTTAAAACTTTAAAGTACGCATGTGTAAACGAGTAGGTAAGAATTAACTCCAACAAGTCAGTGTGGTAGACTTTACCTTGCTCGCAGCTCTAATGAGTTCTCACACACTAGGCATAGCATATCGTCACCAGACTGTGGTTATCCCCTTATCTCTTTCTTCTCACTTACGTCTTCTTGGATTCGTAGACTCTTCTGAGCCGTCAAGTACAAAGTAAAAAGCCAACTGCGATGGATTTTCAAATATTTTTTGAGCGGTTAAAGTCTCAGTGCGGTTTGAATATACTTGGTGGTAGTTAAAGTGAGCGCGCCGGCGGTAAACCGATTGGGCATATTTTCAGTAGAGGTAATTAATTGCCTATCTATTTCCCTTTCGCCGTTTCTTGTACGAACAAGGGAACACTGCACTGAGCGCAGTATAAAGATAAAATCATTATTTACTATATTGTACGCATTGACAAACATTTTCTTCTCATAAGGAAGCTACAGAGATCCTGTAAAGTGAATATATTTTTGATCCGCATGAAATTCTGAATTGCATAAGCTTTGCCTGTTTGTCTGTTTTCACTTTACGGAGCACCTTACTCCTTACATTCAAAAATTGGAAACGTCCGCCATGCCCGCCAAAAGTTACAAGTGATTAAATTTTGTTTTGTTCACTTTTTTAAGATTTTATGCTTATTTATCATACGGCAAACAAGACCGAATATTTGAAACTATTTTGTACATTCCTCAAATGAAGATATATTATCTGCGTAAAAATGGGTTAATTCGAAAGCGAATAAGGCAGACACCGCGACCTGGTGTATTAATCTTTTCTTAATTATACCAGCGATATGGGTATCAAATAAAGTAACTTGGAGATTAGAATGCAAAAGGCTTAGCAAAAAGTTAGTTCCAAATTAAATATTTCGGACGTTACGACGATCTAATTTTTACAATATCTTTGATGTGTGCATCACATACAAGGACTTGGAGAGTAGTATGGGAATAGCTAAGTGTATCAGGTTTAAACTGAGTCACGATTTAGTGGATAAATGTTTCCCCAAAATAACCTTCATTATAGCTATCAACTGAAAGAAGTTGGAGAGTAACATACGACAAAGAGTGTTAGTATATTTTGATTCTGTTGCACGTTTAAAAGACAAATTTTTGGTACGTTAAAAAAAAGACGATATCTTTGGCACTCAAATCGTTCATGTGATGGGTATGCAAGATTCAGTTCGCGCCGAATATAACTTTCTTATTTATTTTTATTTACTGTCTACATATTCTATAAATAACTTCACTAAGTATGGAATTGAAGGATGCCGTATAACCTAGATCATGTCTCTGTTGTGCCTGTACTGAACCCTTTATCGCACTTGGGATTTGAATGTACGACCATTGAGTTATTAGTCGCGATCCTTTGCTTACTTGGTTACACGTCCGCAGCTATCCTGTCTTGAAGCACTAGTATCTGAGGCTACCAACTTTAGTGAAAACTATAACGCACTTGAGATTTTAACCATGGGCCATTGACTTGTTGGTCGAGAAAAGTAACAATTTTCTTATAACTAATCATAATTTCCACTGATTAAAAAAAAATTGCCATTTAAATAAATCTCCAAAGCACAAAACGCGTCGGTAATATACAATGTTTTTATGGTACCATCTCCTAAACTCACCAAAACTCAAAGAGAATCTAAAATAGTTTCCCGGGTGAGCTCAAAACTTTCATTGAAAATTTGTGCGAATATCGTAAAAAATTTTTTTAAATTATAAAAAGATATTTTTTGGGCACTCAGAGTATGTATGTATTTTTTTGGTAACTCAGAGTATGTAAAATTTTAACCTTTCGGGTATAAGCTGTAAGCTTTTAAGCCACAGTTCACCCATATCCGTTGAAATATTATTCTTTTTCGCGCAAGTTTTCCTGCAAATTCCAAAATAAGTTCATTTAAAGCTTAATACCATTGATCATGATTCTTAAAGGATGTGTTACAAAGTCGATAATTAAAGCGAAAGAAAATGTGATTTTATACCTTTCGATTATGGTATTAATGCACTTTTTCTTCAAAGGAAAAACTCAACAAAAAAAAAAAATGTTACTAATAATAAATTCGAGGAAAAATTTTCTCTAAACTGTGAAATGCTGACCAAAACTAATTCTTTCCTGAACGCAGCAAATTGGTGCAGATAAAAGCAGAAAACAGAAAATAAAAAAAGGATAAGAACGATATGAATTAAATCATTTTTGCCAATATAAAGTTTTATGGAAACACCTTGCTGGCAGCTCTCAGCAAACGTGCTTTCAACTTTATTAAATATAATTTGAAAACAAAATGAGCAATAAACTGAAAATTAAGTAGAAAAAGAAAAAAGATTTTTTAATATCTAACTTTACACACACAAAAAAAAAGAAAAACAAGAAAAAACGAAATGAAATGGAGGCGAGAAAATAAAAATGTTTTTCTGGTTATGCACAGAATTGTCAGGATGCTTCACAACCAGTTGCAAGCAAATGTGTTAGCAAATTCTGTTCGAACGGTTTGAAAGGCAGGAAAAATAATTCTTTCATGTAATTACATGGCTAACATGACATCATCCAAACAATAAAACTTATAGACTTTGATGCTCGTGCCTTAGGACTTTAGTCTTAGAGATTATTTCTCTTGCTAATAATAATAATACAGCAACTACCTGCAACTTCTAGATCCTTCCCAAGGACTTGCGCCCTATTGAACTTGAGATTTTTTAAAAATTATATTTTAGAACATTTTCAACTCATATTAGACTTCATTTACCCTTTTATGGATTATTTAAGAAAACAGGAACGCTTATTAGGCAAAAAATGACTTTAAAAGCTTATTTCAAGGAAGAAGGACTTTCCGGTCTATATAAGCGAACGACAAGTTGAATATACCAACGTAAGCTACCAAGATGATAACTTCCCCTGTACATTTAAAAATGCGGCGAAGATGCGTATCTTAGTTTTTTTTATTAACTTAAAATGCTGACATTTTTTCTACACCTTCCTCTTACCGTTTGAAAATTTCCCTTTAATGGCTGACACTTACAATAAAATTATAGTAAATTAAATTTACGCTTAACAAGTTCATTCTAAAATTTTTTTAATAATTCATCTTAATTTATTTAAAGATAGCGATTCTACTTTTTTTGTTCACTTACCGATAACATTAAAAGTATAGGAAAGTGACATTTTCGGTTCCGTATTAATTTGACACTCGTATATGCCCGAGTCTCTAGGTTGTGGATATTTAATTTGTAAAGTCCAATTACCCGAGTTTTCAGGTCGTATAACCTTGATAAAAAAACAAGAAGAACCAGTTAATTGTATTCTCTCAAAACATATATTATTTAAGATAGGACCATTTTTATTACACCGATCGATTCAGAACGATTTTTAACACGATTTAAGCGTGTCCGTCCGCATATTCGTCTGTCCGTCTTAATAACTTTTATACCATCTACAGACCGCAATTTTTAAGATATTCTGATGATGATTGGCACACTGACGTTTCTTGGCTCAAGAACGAAAGCTGTTGAAAATAGAAGGTATCGGCCTAGTTTTTCAGCAACTTCCTATATAACGCCCGATTTATATGGATAACTGCAGGGTGGCCTAAGGTGTTTACCGACTACAGTGTTATTACTTGCTGTTAATCGAGCAGAGTAAACTAAAAGGAGTTCGAATTTTCCCCCACATTTTGCTTATATGTATTGTATGTCCTTTTTATGTCAAATATCCTGAATGAATCCAACTTGCCTGCGACAACAATGTTTTTTAGGAGTAAAACTTTTCAATTTACTAAAACTATAAAATGTTGAACAAGAAGTTCTTGTTTGGACGTTTTTTTGAACTATTAGCTATTTTCGAGAACTAGTTCAATTTATTAAAATCATAGAACAGAATCAGAAGCTTATTTTTAAGTTGGCACACTCTGCAATTTTGGCATCGAGAACTCCACCGACAAGCGTAAGGTTGGCTCGTAGTCGCATGGGCCGTCTAAGATTCTATGTTGATCAACAAAATCCAATGGTGCTCAAAATGCCTAATACCAATACATACAACTGGACACTATGGCGGGGAGATAAACTATGCTTTGATGGGTAGCATAGATGTATCGAAACTCTCACCTCCCAGTGGTGATCCCTGGGCAACGGCTTCGGCCGGCTAAGAAGAGTTTAAGGTTTTGGGCTGCTAACTCGGCGACGAGTTTCTGAGAGATGGTGGAGGGGTTGACTGGAAGAAGAGCTCTTCACTCAATAGCTGGTTACTACCGAGGAAATATATGAATGAATGGTTTTTAAGTACGTTGAAGGTAGTAATCTAGCGAGTGCATGGTAGATTCTGCCATGTCAGTGCAATACTCGAGACCTATATATTTCGAAGAAATGTAGTTCACTGGTGTTGGCAACCAGGAAAGTATGGAGAATCCGAAGCAAGTGCGGTTGTTTTTAATTATACTATTAATGCAAAAAGGAATTGACGGACGGCCTTCCCTTTGGCCGATTAATAGAAGACATCTGGCAAATTAATTTAATACATGCAAAAATGAAAAAAGGGATATGACGGAAAGGTTTTTCCCCTTTTACCTATTTTTAGTTTTGAACACATGTCACGGATGCCTGCGGGTAATGGTGGTACTTGATCAACAGCACAGTGGAAGCCTTATGGCGGAAGCAAGCGTTGATCAATTTGTGAGTCCTGACTGCTTGGGTGCGGCCCTTCGGGGAGTACTCGTGGTGGTTGTGGTTGGCGAGTTCCTAGCTAAAATGGAAGAATTGAGTGCAGCTAGGCCTCGCCATTGACCAGAGTGGGGTTTATTGTTCCATACACAATAAACTGTTCTGGACTCTGGTGCTGTTTAGGCCCCTACTCTGTGGGGATTGTCTAACTCGCCAGGGGGCGTAGTACGCTTAAAGTGGCTTAAAGTCGCTTGGGCCACCGTGGGGTTAAGCCTTTCAGGCAGAAACCCACGTTAAACCCTTGCCACAAATTCTGGACACTATGGCTTAATCTATTTCTTTAATTGATAAGGTGTTTACGGATAAATCATATGAAAGGTAATCTAGAATTTATTATTATTTGGCAGGATGAAGAGTCCATTTCTTTTGAGTTAGTTGATACTAAAATTTATTAAAGGTCTTTGGAAAAAAAACTTACCTGAAATCTTTGATCAGACGTATACGTAGTAGAACCGGCTGTAAGTATGTGTAGATCTCTTTTACGTATCCAAGAGACCTGAAAGAGAAGAAAAGAAACGAGTTGTGAAGAGAACAATTCTTTTTATTAAAGGATTTTATAAGTGATATTAAGCTTCCTCCACCTTACACAATCACACTTAAATGCATAGTTTAAGCTTTTTTGCTTTCCAATCAATTGTTTTGAGGCTTACACGAATTCGCTTTAGGTCGTCTTTCTGAGGGATGGTGGTTCATAGTATAAAACTCGTTTAAGAAGAGATATGAGAGAACAGAATTATGAGAAGAAGACCATGCCCTATAATCATTCACCATAGAAGCTTTCTTAATCCTTGCACCGCAAGGGTATACACTTTTTGCTTAGCTTAATGGATGCGGAAGCGATTTCTGAAAGAACTTCAAGGATTGTTGTGAACACAACTCATCTCTTGTCTTTTATTAAGCATGAAGAATTTTTCCTTTTAATTTTCTTTTCATTGCAATCCATTTTCTTTTAATTACAACATAATGTCTTAATAATTACAATTTATGTTCGCAATAAAAAACTTTTTTGGGTAATGTAAGGACTTCAATAATTTATGATAATTGTAAAGTATTCAATTGAAGAATTTTCTTCGTAAGAAACTCTTCTTATATATGGTGAACATACAATTTTTAATAAAAGATGTTTGTCTTTGACACTTATTGTCGCAAGCCGATTAACTTAACGATGCCTATCGAAAAGACGACAAGAAGTTCGCTTAAACTTAATTTAGGCTGATAGAAACTAGTGAGAAGCAATGAAAGTCAACCTACACATTAGAAATATAAATTGTATCTATAAAAAGTAAAAGACTACAGTGGGATACGGTCCATCCTTAAATATGTTACGCCACTTCGCTCAATTTAGTTAATGCAATGACTTTTCAAATAAGGTGTTAAATGGAAAGTGGTCGAAAAAGTGGTCAGGTCCGAACCATTTGTGACCAGAGCCAAAATATTTCGATGTGCCAACTTTCATCAATATATCTCAAAAATTGCGACCGGTAAGCTTAAGGCAAAGATGCACGACAAGGCGGACAGAGAGGCTTAGATCGTTTCTGAGAACCATTCTAAATCGATTGGTATAATAAAATATGAGCCAATCTCAAGTCATTCTGTATGTCGCGCACGTCCACGGTAACTTAATATACAGTTGCACCACAAGGGATGCCATTGGGCTTATATTTTCTGTTCCCCATAAATAAATAATAATCACTTCTATATTTTAAGTTTGATGTGTTAATTATTTTTGAGTATGCAATGATAAGAATGCAATTCAAATTAATTAATGTTTCATAAAGGAAAACCAAATGCGATTATGAAGCATCGCTGCTGGGTTTGTTAGTGTGTGATATAACACAATGAACTTTATACATACATTAACACTATGTGGCTTCGTTATACAAATGTTATTATATTTAATTAATGTAAGTTAATGTTTCGTTTCTGCAACAATTGCTACTTTATTATAAAAAGAAAACTTTAATGTCAAGTTTTCAAGCCTTTAAATGAGCTTCTTCACAAAATCGTCCCTCACCGAACTATGTTGTAAATGATTGATATTTTCTGTTCGCGGTTTTGTGGTATATGGCGCCATCCCTTTGGCTTTTAAATATTAGCAACTTTTGCTCACTTTCCGAAATCAATTAGTAATCGATAAAATCGAGTTATCATCAACACTACTATTCTTTTGTAGTAAAGCATGAGCATAAAATTTTCTTGACGTTTATCACTTTCGTGTTCTCTTTATTCGGGCGTCAATAGTGTTTCCATATTTTTAAATCAAAGAGAATAGATGTCATAAACACTTCGTTAACGGAGGTGATCGCAAACATGTCACTGTTACGAAGAGAATCTACCGGCGACTAAATATATACATCAATAAAGAAAAGCATCTCACTTGTTTTCTTACTCACAGATTTGAGAAATTCAGCAATTAATTGGTGCTCAACTTATGATATACGTGTTATTTTTAAAACTCTTGTTTTTCCCATATTTGTTTACATGGGAATTTATAGCAAAATTTATTACATAATGTAAGAAAAATTTTTCTATTCGCAAAAAATAACTTGGCTGTTGATGTATGACTTTGAGAAAAAACAACAGAACATACATATGTTCTGGCGAACATTAAAAACGAGCATATTGTGGCGTGATTACGATTTTACGTTTATGTGCTTTTTTTATTCGGGCGTTAAATTCGTGGCACTGAACTGTGATTTTTTTATGGTTCAGATGTTACATAATGGTATTTGTGATTTAATACAGCAAATGTACATGTCACGCCCACTAAAGTCCGTCAATCTGACGGGAAAACTTTGTGAATCGTCCCAGTCACAAAAATAAGGATAGGAAGCTGAAATGTGGGACACATATTAGGTGCCTTGATCGATTAGGATATGTGGCAAAAAATCTACGTGATTTGTTGACATAAATGCCATACATTGTAGAAAAAGCCTTATTTACGTGAACTTGTATTTACAACGTTTCAACGCTTCTTTTAATCTTGTCCATTGGAATATTTCGATGCGAACACCTTGGCTCGACTGTCTTTGCCATCCGCACATATTTCGCTTATATAACCTTTTACAAGCTAGTTACCAATACCAAAATGTTCTGGATATTTTCATGCTAATCGCTTTCTACACGTAATATGTTCCACAAATATCATTTATCATCACAAGCTTTCTTAGAAAAACATTAAGTTTTCTTGCAGATTTTACATATTTAATTTGCAATCTACCCTAAAAGAGAGCAAGTGTACGTTATGATATAATAAGAAAAATAGCAAGGTTTACTGCGCCATATGGATGCAGATATGTTTTTTCAATAAATAAAAAGAAGCTATATAAACTTAGAAAATGCATTAAAGGGATTTAAAGAACAAGAATAAATTAATTTCTAAATATATTCGTCTGAGTGGACAAGTAGACTTACGAGGCCGAGTTCAAATCTGAAGTGCGGTAGAGTTTTCAATAACGTCGACGAGATGCTAGTGCTTCAAGACTTTATTTTTCTCTGGCTAAATTATTTACAATACGAATAATAATTACTAAATAGAAGAACCAATAGTAAAGGAAATCATTGTTAAGAAAAATTCACGCTCACGTTCTATTATTCGCGCATGTAAAGGAACACGAGTGCATTTAGATCATTGCGGCGCAAGTTATTTTCATCTTTCTAATGACAATGTGTTGTTGCGACACCACTGCTCCATAGTACAAGAGCGTTATGTTCAACAATGCTTCACAATAAGTAAAGTGTTGGCTAACGTTCCAGGTTCGTCAGATGTGGATACAAACTTCGAACTCAACCAGTTAGACATGTTATTTCTTTTAATAGTTTTTCCAAGACGTGCTCTCTTTTAGCACTTAAATCTAGGCTTAATAAATTCTTCGAACAGTATTTTTCTATTACTTTTTCTTCAATAATAAAAAGCACACTCAAAATAAATGCTCCTTTTTGGGCTGTTACTGCGGTGGGTTGCCATTGGGCGAGAAATTGTAAAATTTTAGTTCGTTTGAATCAAAAGTAAGTGATAGCTCACACTGCTAATCTACAGGCAATAATACAACAGCTGAGAATTTGAAGATAACGGTCGGACAATTTTGATAAAGCCGACACACAAACAAGTTATCAAACAACATGCAAAAACATTAAGTGAACCGACAATTGAAACCGCAGTCAAATGTCTTTACAAAACAAGAACTATAGAACAATTGTAAATAAGCACACATACATAAGTGTGTAATTGAAAACCCCAAAGCACTATCACAACAAAACAACATAGTTAGTAAAGTAGGAAGAATGGACTATTTAAGCAAGAAAATGGTTCATTTGTTAACTTTATACATCTGTCTGAGCACTGATTATTTGCGCACTAAACCAAGAAAAAGAAAATTTTCTTCTCTCGTTCTCTCTCTCAACTACTTTGCCTGTTACGTATGTAAATGTTTTCTCAAGAAACGCTTTAATGAAAAGGTAAACTGATTTCGGTTTTTTGTTGAGAAAAAGTGTTAAAAGTTTTTACTTAACAATTGTGGTTTGGTCTTCTTTGAAAAGTTTCTCAACGGCAAACTTTCTTTAAAAAATTATTGGTTTTATTTATTTTTACTTCTTTTTTTTTCTTTTCCTTTAAGAAAATTAATATTTTCCCCTATTTAGTAGGGAAAACTTTTTCTTTGTTCCACAGTTTTACATTTTTAGTATGGATTTTCTTTGCTTTGTTTTTCTGTCACATCTCATTTTAGATTTAACGGCAACAAAAAAAAATTAAAAAAAAATTTTTTATTCCGTTTTCAATTTCGTTATATTTTTTTTAAATAAAAATTACAATCAAAAAATCAGAAAAAAAAAGAAACATATAAATTTTTGGTTTTTATTTTGTAAATGAACACAAGACCATGGAAGATGGTTTACCTAAAGAAGGTGAACTTTATAAAATTCAAAAAGTTATTTTTATAAATATGTATATATACATAAATGTACATAGAAATGAGAAAAGATTCCAATTTTAGATACTGTAATCCAACAGCCCTCGCTGTCAACGTCTTTGAATTCGCTTAATATTGACCCGACAAAATCTCAAAATCAAACTAATTTACGTGACTTAAAATCGGAGAACGCTTCTTCCCGTCCAGATGATCTTGATTTAAGCCCAGGTAGTTCGAAGCCATGTACTAGCAACAAACTTGAGACACTGCCTCCAGATAAGATCGTCGTTGCCCTCGATGATGAACACAATAACGCTGATAACTACTCTTTACATTCCATCGAATCCTTTGTATGTCGCATTTGTCACAACAGTGAAAATCCTGAAAGGTAACATAGTTCAATTTATTCATGCGACACATAGAAGAAACTTTGTTTAGGATCATCTATGCATTTTGTAATGCTTATGAAGATTGCAAGGTGTATCGATTAATCTTTTAAAGATTTTTCACTTTTATATGTATTTTTATATTTTTCAATGAAAATTCAGACGAATATGACTTGTACTTTATTTTAAATTCTAGGAAT